CATCGCAAGATAGGGGGGTTGTGGTGGCAATCTATTCAAAATTGCATAAAATTCCTTTTGTTATTTCACATCAGCACTCATTAGCAGGGTCAGAATGCCTACAAATGCTTCGTTCCCTGCCGGGTCAAATTCACGGTATCCAATGGAACGGGGTTAAGCCTTAGGCGGGTGGTGAGTAACTCCAGGGTGCGTCAGCCATTTTCATTCTCCCCAGAATTCATGCCCCTCCTAGGCTCACTCTAGTGGATGCCCCCGTATATTACGAAGGCGAAAGCGGCCCCATTTTAGTTCCTATTCAGATCAACCTCATTGAATTAAATTTTTAAATGAAATTGCTTTTTTGAAGGGTAGGAGTAGAGTTAGCCCGGAATGAAAAGCTCGAGACGAAACAAGTATGAAGACGGTGATTCCAGAAAAATAAAATATATCGAAATATAATAATAAAGGTGTCTAAACCGTCGAATGAATACTGCGAGGTTATTAGATTCAAGCGCAAGTGATAAGGAAGTGATTTCGAAGGACGCAACATGTTTCGGACCCGATTCTCGGTCCGATCGAGTCGCTCGGTAAACTTCGTTATCACCGAGTTGCGTTTCCGATACGTATTGATTGGTGGTCAGTGAAGGTGTGCCGAGCACAAGCTTGACCAAGTTCGCACTCTATTAACTCCTTTAATACCCTGGAATTCTCGAACAATGAATAAAGTATTCTTATACATTTATACACATAATATCTGGTATGTATAACAATCAGATGTGATTTGTACAGACTCTGAGTAGCAGTGGCTGAGTGGCAGGACTGGGCAGGACCTGGTTAGCACCGTAGCAATGAATCCCTTCATCGGTCCTGCACCGTCCTGCCCATGGAAATAATCACGATGCACACGTAGATCACGAATGAAAGAATTCAGCACAATATGAGCTATGACGACGAATCCTTGCAGGACTAACGATGCTGGTTGGAGAGCAGAAGCAGCAGAAGCGACGAAAGCACCGTGACGATTAGCACAGAGTCCTGCCCCACTCGGGTAGAACTGCTGACGGGGCATTTGTGATGATGCGAAACGTGGAAGGCAGAACAGATCAACGACGAGGTCGATGACGACGCTGCGGCTCGCGATGGAGTGCTAAAAAATGTTTCAATAATTCTGTGAGCAAATCAAAACATGAATTGTAGCACTGATATCTGTTTTAATGATATTTCAATCAAAATTGCGGTGCAAAACTAGTTCGTGGGTGCTCGATTTTTGGATACGGTAGGCACGAATATGTGCAGTGGAATTGACAAACACCGTCCTTTGTTTCTTTTTCGATCTCGGGCATTTTTTATTGCTGGAGAGTTTGAATAAACGCTGATGCCCTATACCCTCACCTCAAAGGCCAAGAACGTGGTTCAGCTCAAGCCATGCAAGGACTACGCAACTTAGGACCAAGCCTTAGGGAATGGGAGAGGTGAGTGAGTGACGTTTGTTTTCCCCCGTAATTTATCCTCTCCTAGACATCGTTCTAAAGGTCCTTACCATCGCACTGAGGAACATCAGGTATAAGCCGAATCCGCAAAAAATGAAGAGAAAAGCACTGTAGTTGTACTGTAACATCGTGCCCTATGTACTCTCTCCTCCCCTCCCTCCCACACTCCCCCTCCCCCGCAACTAGGAAGCAGCCATATTTTTATGGATCTTCTTCCACATAATCAAGCATAAAAGTTGACAGTAAGAATAACTAACACATAAGTAAGTAAGAAAAATAAATAACGAATAATAAATGAATAGCCTAAAAACTTAAGTCACAACCAGGAGCTGATTTCTAGTTAGAAATTGAAATAATTTGGACGCAACACGGCGTTTTGAACGGGACATACAGGCTCTGTCGGGAATTAGACCTGCGCTCACGCCTTCCATAAACTGTACTTGCCCAGAACGCTACTGGGACCTCACGTGTCTTCTCTCAGGCTTTTCAAGGATTCTTAACCGTATATTATCAACACTAGCTGCTGAACGATTGAACAACGAGTTTAAGAATAGTGGATCTATATTGAAATTGAACTCGGATCCAAAGCAGGATTTTACCATGAAAAGGCAACCCATTGGAATTAAGTTAGAGATGGTCAGTGATGCACGAAAGAAGAAAACCGAGAAAAGTGTAGAACCCGAGAAATGGGACCCCTTCTTGCCCGTTGATTTCCGCATTGATGCGACTCCCATCGGTGCTGCCCTCTTCAACGCTAACCCTCTCTCTACGAAATGGCCGAGACTTCGGCGATTGGTTAGCCAGACAGTGGGCGTGCCGCGTCCATAGCGGCGAGGAGATGGCAATGCCACGTCGATGGGGCACGTCCTTCGCTGCGATTTACGTGTCAGTCCGCAATTTCAAGAGATCCTCCTGTTTTCAATAGTAAGTCCCCCCCGTCCACCTTCGACCATATCGCAGAACCCTCCTTCATCCCAAGTAGGATCGAACAGTTGCCCTATTTGAGCTCACCATCAGCTCAGGAGTTCAACGCCAGTTTAAGAATCTCTGAGTACTTAAAATTCTCATAAAGACTTCAGAGCAAGCAAAGACAATTACAGAGGCTGAAACATACGTCATTACAGCATTCCCCTTCTCCACTAGATTTGTTGGTCGAGTTCATGGCGGCTCTTATCACATGATATGCGTAAGGCAGATCATAGCATACGCTGATCCATGAGATCGCTCTCAATCGTAGCATATAGCGCTGCTTGAAGACGTCCATCCTGAAAATAGGACGGTTTTAACTTGAAATGCATGTAGGTATATATAAAGGTAAGGAGAAGGTGTGCAGGCATACTATATCACTTCAGCAAACGCCATGCACTTGACTTCCAGTCAGAGTGGTACAGGTAGTCATGCACATGTGTGTTCTGTTTACATGTCTTTATGACTCTACTTCAGCGCTGGACTACTTCAGGAGCGCTACCGTGCCCTCTGGGGTTTAAGAAAGAAATTCGATGTTTTCCCCTCCCCCTTTTGCATGCATCGCCGCAGTACCTGCCGGGACCCCTCCAATTTCCTTTCAGCAAACTCAAATGAGTAACATATTTGGAATTGGTGGCCTATGGTGAGGTCAGAGTTTACTTCCTCGAGGACAAGTGTTCGTTTGTACGACCCGAAAAGATAGATAAATGGCCACTCGTGGCAGAATTAGATCTCACGGCTCCGTAAAGTGCACTTTTGTGCTACCAAACTGCGCCATGACCCCGCTGTAATAAAATTATTGCAAAGGTGATGGGCGGGTTCCGAAACGCTGCTCCAGTCAAGGTCTGAACCCGCTCCTCACGCTTAGAGTGCTACGCTTACACCAATACAGCCTGATTTAACCTCTGCTTCAATAATAAGGACATTACTCTACTTTACCTAAATTTCCCTCGCAACTCGCACTCTCCATCACAGTACATAGATCGTGTTGATCGAAGCCGGTTGAGAGAATAGAAACAGCGCAAAAGGCGAGCAGCTGGCTGGCTTCTCAGGAGCGAAACGGTATGTAGTTAGCCTTCTGAAAAGAGATAAATTAGAACAAATAACGGTTAAAGCTTTTTTTGAAAACAAAAATGAAATTTTGAAAACGATCAGGAGCAAATGCCTAAGCTCTCCGAAGAGGGGGAAGATCGCTCTTTCAGCATGGGAGACTATGGTCTGTTTCGGGTAGTTTTGTAGTCCCCCCGTATCTCACATTTCTAGGTGTTTTGCTTCAAAGTCGATGGTCGGCTCAGGCGAAACGTGTGTTTAGTGTGAAAGGCTTCTTTGACTTGGAGGGTCGATAGGATTCTTCACCCTCTCCTAAATGATTTACGGATTACTTGAACTTTCTTTCTATAGACCTGCCCCGAATTGGTAGAGCAAGAAGTAAAAAAAGGTGGTACCAGGAATGGGTAGCGCGATCACATGTGGCTGAATGTTTGCAATGTTTCGAGATCATCTTTGTCATGAATCCGCTGTTCAGGCAAATGCGAGAGCAGGTGGAAATGGAAGGCTGTCGCATGCGAAGCTTCAAGGTCCCGTGAACGCTGCGAAGTTGAATCATCTACGACAAAAAGAGTATTACATCCTACAGTATGACCTTATTCCTTATGTTCATCCCCACAAACTGTGATGAGGTTTCCCATATTTCCAAAAATCACATTCGGGATCTCTGCTCGGGATTCTCCCGACTGATTGTCAACCCTGCAAAAAGCTGCAGACCCTGTATAGGATGCTTGAGATGATTTACTTACGCGACACTGCCTTTGTGACGATCTGTGAACTGCGAAACAAATTGCGAGGCTAAGTGGCTCTATCGCTGTGCACGCAATTCAACAATTGCATTTTTACATCAGTGAAACTTTGACCCGTGCCGCTTACCGTAATCCCATTTGGAGATGAAGCAAGTTCCTGCGACGGAATATCAACGACCATCCAGTGAAGCATTGAGGTGCTTCGCATCCAAAGCCACTAAGGTGTAGAGCTCGTCCATTAGAGCTGAAAGTGGGAAGACATTATTGGAATGGATTCAGGCTGTTCTGAAAGGGAGCACCTCAAGGAGCAAACTTGGGATTGCATAAAGGCTCGTCTCTCTGTTACCCTAAAAAAGTCAGTGATTGATCGCTCACACTTCTCTTCATAATGGACCAAGCATGCGGCAACTTTGCTGATGGTCGAACTTTATTGCGGTAATTGCGTGTGAGATTTCGCATCCAACCGGTCCGCTCAAAATACAACGCAAACTCTTTGGTGGCGGGTGAGCGACGCATAATCAGTAACTTCTAGGCTTCAAAGAGATATTGCTCATTAGGATTGGGAAGATGACGTAGGAATAAGCCCCTTCGGCGATGGTGCTTATAGTAACAGAGCGTTGCACACACGCTTTTGGTCTCATGTGCAACTTCTGCTGCAAAATGTACACCGGGGCACTGTTTTATGACTCTACGCATTCTTACTGGTGAACTATATCTCAGGAGCCTCAGCCATGATGAGAATACGAGAAACTGATTCCACATGGTTCTCGATACGACAATATGCATGTCTTGGGCTCAACCCGGTGGATTTTTTTGCACGCGCTTATTCGTTACATCAACAGTCACTCGCGTTTGCGTCGTGGAGCGATTCTAAGCTTTTGCAAGAAGAAGAATAACCGCGAGGAGGAAATGAAATAAGCATTGAGTAGACATCGCATGGTCGTTGAGCCTAAGTTCATACATTGGATCAGGTTATAGCATACGGATTTTTCGTACTACGTAGCCACCGAATCTTGTATTATAACATTCATGTCATGAGTGAAGATATAAGAGAGACCGCAAAATTGGCCAAATGTCCGATTGAAGTGTGAGGAAGCGGCGGGAATTACGATTGTGACCGCATCTTGGTCATCCTGATATACGGTCCTCGAGGAAATAAGGACCAATGGCCTCTTGAAGTTGTGTTTATTCTATCATGTAGCAGAAGAATAACACGGCAGAGAAGTGCTAGTAGTGGAGCAATGTGACACGCTATCTACGCGAGCGTAGGATTCGCGAAGTCAATTTCGAGTGTGACCAGCGCGTTCGTGAGTCGCCCGGGCCAACCAAGCCTTCCATCCCTCCGGGGTCGGTTAATTGGTACCAGACTTGTCTGGGAGGATAAAAACACTGACTTGAACATCGGCTGGCCCCCGCAAGTCATTGTATAGGCCACATCGCATTCAAACGCCACTACGAATGTACAAATGGAAGTAGAATGCGTGCCGCATCCCAAAAAGGGATTGATCAACGGCAAATGCTTTATCCTTTTTTTTTATTATATCGAGAAGGGTCAGAGTTCGTAAGCGCTTACTCAAAAAGTTCGAATTTTCCGAACCGAGCATAATGTCGGTTTCGCGTTAGTACCAAGCTGTCTGATATGAGGATAATGTCGCGGTCACCGAGTGCGGATTGTTGATCACAGTCATCAATTCCAAAAATTCTTCCAATTCTTGATTTCCTTTCGAAACATCGTTCATCAATTCGAGTGGGTTCAGGTTTCCATACAATTAAAAAGACTGTAGCGTCTTGCCCTTATGCTCACTGGAATGCTGTGCTGAAGGGTAAACTTATATCAGGGAGAAGGGGATAGAGATTTGCCTTAACAGTTGGGCCCCATTGGCGCTAGCGCGGAGCGTGTTCCAACTGATCCCATAGGCTTTATGGACGAGTTGAATCCTTGACAAAAAGCTAGATGCGCATCGATAAATGACTTATTTCTCAGGACAATAATCTAAGTTGTCAGGGGCCATATTCAAATAACGAGGCAGAAGTGGGATACGGCAAGTGTGAACGGGCGGTTACCGGCGCGAGGCGAGTTCCGGGATCAAAACGCTGGAGTCGTTGATGTCGTGCCAACCAAGCCATTCCATCCCTCTCTGGGCTGCTCCACGTATAAACTATTGGTACCAGACCTGTCTGGGAGGATAAAAACACTGACTTGTACATCGGCTGGCCCCCGCAAGTCATTGTATAGGCCACATCGCATTCAAATGCCACTGCGAATGTACAAATGGAAGTAGAATGCGCCGTGGTTACATTATGACCGGAGAGGGCGTGCCGCATCCCAACTGATTAACGGCAAATGCTTTATCCTTTATCTAATACCATATGGTAAACAAATGAGTATTTGACCTCAACAATGGATTATGGAGGATCTTGGATGCTTCCAACATCAGCACTACTAACAAGCTTGGTACTGACCGAAACCGACATTATGCTCGGTCGGTCGGAAAATTCGATTGGGATATGCTCGTTTCAAAAACTGACCTTCAGACCATGCGTGGTCACTCAAAATCCCACGCTATAAAGCAACTGCCTCATTGCCTCGAATTTCAGATTTTTACATCCCCATCCTCTAACACCCACATCGAATCCTTCATGTTCGGTGTTCGCATAGTTGTTTCTGATACTACTGGACACATTTCCCTCCCCTAGGGAAGGGGGTGTAAACGAAAAAAATCCACTAGGTTTTCGAAAATTCTCGGAAGTTCAAGGGACATTCTCGCATTAAGCGGAACCTTTCCTTAATTCTGACTTTTCCAAAAATACGTGCACGATATGCTACCCGCTCCAAAATCACAAAAGACGACCTTATCCGTTCTAACTGGAACCGGCAGCTGACCCTGTGGAACCCTCCCAAGCTTGCATCAACTAAATATAGTACGAGATGGCCTACAGGAATACAAAGAAAACAATTCGGCCATTTTCTATTGAACGAAGTGGTTTTTCGAACTGAAAGTGCTTCCCTAAATTATACACTATTTCGTTTTGCGCCCGTGTTGGACGCGATGTAAGAGAGACACTGCAACTTTGAAATCCGATACGTTGTCGAAAAAACCCACCAACGAGAAGCACACAAAAAGGCGTTGCTATGAGAGGCTCACCGATATGGGTCCTGGCTTGACGATGGTAATTGACATATGACGGACTTTGAATGGGAATTCTTGCCGAATTCACCGATGGTGGAACTACGGTGGCTGAGGCGGAAACGGTGGCTGCACCAAGTGGATCGAAGAAAACCGTGGTGGCTCTAGAATTCATATGGTTTCTGAAGAACGAGGTCCGGAAAGATTGGTTGGACTCACTTCTGTCGAACTTGCTGACAGCAGACATTGACGTCCATCTGTGGCAATTCTACGGAGACTGTCAACCACGAATTTAGCTCTTCCAGTGGAAGACGATTCAGCGATGGAGCAGGTGGATGGCGGATTAGCTCTGAAACAAACAAATATAATAAATAGAACAACAACTCAGTGTCTAAAACTAGAAGACAAATAGACATGAAGAATGGGAGTATGCGCCCATATGTCCGCATCCATGTACTTAAACCATGCATTCATAGATTTCAAGCATACACCACAAGTAAATACCTAACTTAAAGGCACGGGTTTCGGTCAAATTGATGTGTTATTGTACCCGAAAATGGGACAAGAAATGTGAACAGGAACATCAGTGGGAGAAAAGCGCAAAAAGATAACATAGGAAAAACCGAATTTTCCCAGCGAGGTCAACCGTGATTCGACAGAGAACACAGTGCTGCGAAGAGAGGGAAAACGCGAGAGAGCACGCCGTACGCGAGAGGGAGCAGACACCACGTATGCTGCGATTGACAAGAATGGCAGCAGTAGCACGGTCAAACAAAGACATCAGCCATCATCACTTTCGAGTCGCAGCAGTACAGCCACCCCAGTGATTAGGGGTCCTGCTCCCTACTCGAGGAAACAGTTTCTTCCAGGATCTAATCGCGATCCATGCCTTTAAGTATAGCGCAGCTTCACCATGAGCCTAATATGGGAGAAGACCTCGAGGACCATTTCAAAAATGGTTGTCTTCAAAAAAAAAACTCGATGACCTCGAAATTTTTGGAAAAATTGCAGTATTCACTTTTGGGTTGAAGGCACGCTCAAGAATCGAGCTGGTATGGTTAT